AAAAACCCACCCCCAACCAACCCCGCTTTTTTTTTTTTTTTTTTTGCTCCCTACCACCCAGATTTTTTTGCATCTTTTTATTATATCACCTGCCTAAAACAGAAAGGGCCTTGAAGATGACTTTCTTGCCTTTTCAGATGGCCTGGGTAGTAGTTTGAATTGGATAGTCCCAGGAGAGAGATTGTCATTCTGTACCTTGCAAAAGTCCCTGCTGCCCACCCTGCCAGCAGGCTGAGCTGGGTGTGCATGCATTTAGCTGCATTTGAGCCTGGTAAATATCTGTTATGGACTTCAGACAATAAAATACCTGAGGAAAGATCTGGGATCCATGAAATTTTCTTCATGGGAGATGGAACTGACTGAACAATGTTAGGGATGGATTTAAGGTTTGATATTGTTCACATGGAAATTAACTTCCTGAGCTGAAGGGAAGGAGACTGTTTAAAGTTTGCAGCTTACTTTAAATTTCACTGTGTAATGTAAAACTTGTCCCACCGTGGGTATTGGCACGGCTTCAGCTTCTTCCCTCCTCCCCTTCACTTGCATAACGACTGCAGTGCTCTCAAACTCTTCTAGAGCAAAGTAATTTCAGACTCCTGCAAAGCCTCTTTGCCTGTAAGAACTAACCTAGTGCTTGATTTTATTTTTCTCATTTTAAGAAGGTTGTAAAGGTAGTAGAATGTTAAAACAAAATAGTGCCTTTTTTTTTAAGATAAGAAAAATAATCCAACTAAGGCAGCCCAGCCATGAATAGAGCAAAGGCGAGGTGCTCTTTACTTGCAAGCTGCTTTTGCTGTGTACAGCACCTTGCACAACTTGGTTTTAGTCTTCGGGTAGTGTCCTTACTGTTACAACATTAGTAATTTTGATTCTACCTTTTCTCTGATAATTAAAATGGCTGCGGTTTTTTCCCTTCAAAATGCACTTTCCGAGTGGTACTTTGGGTTTGAACTTTATACCTATGTCAGAAGCACCTCTTGCTGGCAATAGTTAAGCAATGCAAATGCTGAAGGCATTTTCCAAGTTGCTTGCTGTTTGCATTATTACTGTGGCAACTCAGTAAAGCCAGATTTCCAGTGGCAGGCCTCTGTGCCTCCCTTAAAGGCTTGATCTGTTTGCCTTGCTTGGCTGGCTGTGAATACCAAAACTGGCTCTGTTTGGTTTTCACATTTGCAGGAGAAGGAACTTGCTGTTTATAACTGATTTCCAAGTTGGACTGACTGTGATTCGCTGCTGTAGAGGCGCAAAGAAAGAACAAAACAATTCTTGACTGCTTTTCAACCAGGGGTGTCTTGACTTTGTGGCCAAGTGGGAGCTTTTTGGAGTATGAGTGCTGCAGACCACAGAAACCAAAGTAGCAAAGTGGTTGGGATGATCAAGGCGAAAGGAGCCTCATTTAACTGTTGGCAGTGCAGAGCTTAAAGTTGCTTCTCATCCTGCAGCCATCTGGGGCAGCATGGGAATTCCCACAGTCACTGTTTGTCTTGTGCCGATTTGCTTGAACCCAGCTTGTCGCATTTGGAGAATGTGATTTTATTATTTTTTTAAAAAAAAATTTTAAAATGTTGGGGGTTTTTTAATGCTTTGCTAGGATTTGAAAGGGGCTGGAAATCTTTGCTGCAAGCATGTTGAGCACGGCTGATTCTTCTCTGCAAGGGGTCTGTGCTGCTGGGTGTGGAGGCATGGGAAACGTCAGTGCTGCTGCTCTCCCTCACCTCTTGACGAGAAGAGCTCAAAGCTCTTCATTAACTGTCCAAAACTGCCCCTTCTTGGTGTCCCCATGCAGGAGCATGGACGTTTCTCCTTCCTACAAACAGGACAGTTCAGGCACGAAGACTTGCCCCCAGTGGCAAGGCAGCTTTTCCCCAGCAGTGCCCGACCCTGTGACCAAAACCCCCCCAGGAGGACAGGTCTTTCTAAGAACTAAAGCCTCCTGATCTGAGGGATACCAGGGATATTGGAATAAGTGCTTTTGCTTCTGTGTGTTTGGAGGAACAACCTAAAATAGTGAATTTCCTCTCCAATGCCCACCTCCTCTGCTGATGGTTGCTCAGGTTTCTTGCTCTTGAGTGCCGCTTGTCTCCCCAGCTTTGTGCAGTGTTGTGGTAGCATGTGATGTATGTGTGCACAACTTTCCTCAGACCCTCTTATCTCTCGAGCCCTGCAGCCCTGCCTGACTCCAGGACAGCACATGGTGCAGTAAGAGCTCTAACATGACAGACCATCTGCTGCTGCCCTTCCCTGTAGGGCTGCTTCTGTCCAGACTGGCTCCAGCTGTGCTGAACAAGAAGCCTGACTGTGCGATCTAATGTTTCTCTTTGGTTTGCAAACTGTAGATGATGACCAGTCTGGTTGTTCAAGAGATGCTTTGGGGAAAGGTAAAAATGACGGTGTTCCTTGCACTGCCTTTATGGCTGGTGGAGGTTGTCCTGGCTGCACGGGCCATGGAGTTGAGGAAGATCTCTGCATGCTGCTTGAGCAGAAAAAGCAATGGGGATGGATCTGTCTTCAGATCTACCCAGCTGGGTCCTGCTCCTTGGGAAGGGCAGCAAGAGGCCATGGGGGAGACTTACAGTGCCTTAACCCTTTCGTGCATTGAGCTGAAGAGAGGGAGTTGGGAGGTTGTTTTGAACTGGCTGTGAAGTGATAGTCCTCTGACCTCTCCCTCCCAGCCTCCCTCCTTGAAGGGACTGTAGGATAGTTCCACTCTGATATGACGAGAGGTGTCCCTTTGTGTGTCTAATGCTTAAAATCTTCCATCAATATCTCAGGGTGTCTTCCTCCAGAGTAGACCCTTGGTTTGACTGCCTTTCTGGCATCTTCCCCACTAACCAGAGCTCAGGGAGGGCTGACCAGCCTTTCCCATCCACCGAGGTGATTAGGGTAGATTTACAGCAGGCTCCTTGCCTAATCCCTGGTTTATTTGCTGGCTGAAAAGGAGATTTGTAACTCGGGTAATAACACTCCTCCTGGGCTATGCCAGCAAAACTTTCCCATCTTGATTTAGAGATCAGTCTGTTTGAAGTCCAAAACCAAATGCATCCAGGCCTTTTGTGTTGCACCTGAAGATGTGACAAAGCACCAGCAAAGAAAAGAGGAGGCAAGCAAGGGAGGAAACCTGGCTGTTGTGCAAGGGAGTGCTGAGCACTACCTTTCTCCCATGTTCACATATGGAGCTGCTTTTCACAAGATCTGCATATAAACTCAGGTGGCCTCACTTCTTCATTAACTTTTTCAACTTTTTTTGTCCTCCAAGGTCCTTTCCTACCAGCCCTGACAAGCTCCAGAGCTTTCTTGTCCCCAGACATTGAGACAAGGTGTTTTTCCCTTGGGGGACAAAGCCAAATGGCCAGTCTCAAGACATGCCCTGGACATAGAGAGTTTAAGGTTTCCCTAGGTGTGAAGTTTCACCCAGCAACCTGCTACCTTTTCCTGGTTTTGCTGCTGCTTCTGTCTGTCCTCTCCCTTGTACAGGCTTTGGAGTTTGTCAACCCCTCTACCCTTGAACCAGTTCAACTCACAGATCCTGCAGGACATGGATTTTGTTATTTTTCACAGTGCAAGGAACTGGATCAGTTGGATCAGATGAGGAGTGAGATGCCTCCCTGTTGGCAGGGAAAGCCATTAGATCTGCTAGAGCCAGTAAGATGAAATTAGGGAGCATGCTTCCATTAACCTGGTTAATGGGTGCATTGACCTCAGTTCCTAGGAGAGTAGCTTTACTACATCAGAGTAATGCTTTGTTGCAATCATTTTATTAGCACTTTAAAACTGCTTTTGAACTTGGCTCGTGGATCATGGGGGTATAACAGTTGACTGTTACACATGCTGCCATGTGAGGCGCTAACCTGGCTTTCTGTTGGCTGGGATGTTCTTCCAGTAAAGTCTGGGGTTTTTTTTTGTTTGTTTGTTTTTTAACAAAAAAGAAAAAAAAGTGTTGGAGGCAGGTTATTAAAATAAAGAGTGAGGGCTCATCTCTGCCTTGGGTGTGCACCACTGTCTCCGACCATAGTGCTGTAATATTGACTAAGAACTTTTACATCCATTACATGGACTTAAAAGCCACTGGGATAAATGCTGAATTGCTTTTATTTGACCTTCCTTGCCTTTTGACTCAAGCTAGCTGCTCCTAAATGTTTCTCTGTGAGCACTGGAAAAGGAAGACATAAGAAACAGATGCTGAGGGTCTCCTGTCTCATATGGTCTGGGAAAAGGAACTGGAAGGAAAATTAGCAAACAGCAGAAGTGGAAATGGTGTGGTTAAAAATTGTAATAGCCACTACCACAACAAAGCTCTAATGTCAAGCCATTTGCCACAAAAGCACAGCTGAGCATGATTTGAACCAGTTCCTGAAAGTCAAATGCCATGGGTGGATGTCACGCATGAAAATATATGTTCATGCTTAGTGGACTCCACTGGTGCAGGATGGAATTGCACACATGCATATCAAAGTTCAAACCTGTCCCTAAATATCACCTTACTCTTTATCTGCTGAGGGTCAAGTTTTCTACTGTTACGCTGAATTAAGCCAAATAGTGCTCAGGGCTCATCTGATAAATAATTGTAATGCTCCTGTGGAGTGGCTCCAGGGTGTTTTTGCATGGCCCACAGACTCTCATAGAGGAAAAGCTGGAGAGCTATTATGAGGTGTAGGATGGGAGAAGAGGAGGATGGGAACAGCCTCTTGAGAAATGGCAGATCTGGCCTTCCTCCAGGTTAAGCGAAGACCTTTGTGGGTGAACAGATGGGTGGAGGGGGGAAACTTTACTCTGTGGTTTCTGCAACCAAAAGGTATGTGACTAACGAGCCAACCACCATCCACTTGCAGAACTGCCAGTTCTTTCAGAGTCAATAACACAAATACCTTCATCAATCGGAATAACCTGCATCCAACCCTGCCAAACTCAGATGCCCATTGCAGCTTTCTGTGGGCTCACCCCGTCCCTGGTCAGACTGATGCGCTGTGTGGCATTAGAGAAGTGAACACCATGGCCAAGTACTCTCTCCAAACTTCTGTCTAAAGCATGGTGGGGCTCTTCTGGGGTAAGGGAAGGAACAGATGTCACCCTGGTCATTAGCCAGTGTTTATTTGCTCAGTTGGAGCTACGCTTCCTTCAGTGGTTTGGGCATAGCTGGGAATGAAGGCTCTATTTGCTGCACAGTAAACAAGACTCATCTTTTCTGCCTTTGCCTGGGTGTCTTCTCTGCCATGGTTTCCCATCTGGGCAGCTCAGGGTTAGGACACTGAAGGGGGCTGTTCTGACTGCACCCAGTAGAGAGCAGTGCTGGACGTCCCTTCTCATTAACTAATGAGTTCTACAGGTTCCTTTGTTCTTTCTACACAAGGTCCTGTGTTGGGGACATGGCTCCTTGTCAAGAGGCACCTGTGTACACAGCGTCCACCTCGTGAGTCAGCCTGCAGCCTACCTGGCTGCTCCTTTCCCAGCAGGCTGAGTGCAGTGTTTGCTTTATTAGTAATTCATCACTTGTCAAGGGGATAGGAGGGGATGAGTTAGGTGTGTTTTGGCTTTGCCCCGGATCTGGATTGTGTGTTGCTCTATGGGCATGTCCAGTATTGGCAGGAGAGGTGAAGAGAGCCACCCCTGGTGCCCATTTGGTGGTTTATTCCCTAGGAGCAGATACTGCTTCTTTGGCAATTGAGTATTTCTGGGATGATGGAGTTCACAGAAGCAGAAAGTCTTGATGAGTATGTAGATATGGGCATGTGGTCAGTATAAATAAGGCAAGCCTTGATCCCTGGATTTGAGGATCTCAGGAGCAAGCTGTAATCCCTGTCCTAGTTTAAGGATGCTCTCAGTACCTGCTGATATGATAATCCCTGGTATACACCAAGAATCAATTCAGGTGGAGTCAGTGGAAGATAAAAGCATACAGATGATTAGGATTATGGCTCCCTAAATTACCACGTGGGTAGAGGAGAGACTTGGCCAGGCAGAAAGCCTCCAGCTGAATGAGTGATGAACTGAATTGCCAGGGGAAACTAGTCTGTTTTGTTAAGGGTAAGCATAAGAGGGATGGCTTTTGGATGTGGTTGGGAAGAGAAGGATAACCCATTTGGAGCAAACGTCTTTGAGCAAGGGCACATGGCTCCCTTAGCTACTAGGAAACACCCCTTATCACCCAGCAGAAGCAACTTGTGCACCCCTGACCTTGGACAGAAGGCCAAGCCTCTGGATATGCTGGTGGCAGGCTGTCTGTGGAATATGGACTTTTCTTGATGGTGTCTGTGCCATGTTGGTGCTGCAGAGACAGGACAGCTGTGTTGCCCTGATACTTTCTTACATGGTTTTGCCATAGGAAGGATATGCCTGGTTTGGGATGGCACAGGCTCTGCTCAGAGGGCCCACAGCAGAGAGCACACCTTGGGGCTGGCACAACTGCAAGTACCTCAGCTCAAGCAAGTAAACCCTGTTCCTTGCTGTCAGCCAGTGCCACCTGAAGGAGGACTCCATGAATGTCAGGCTGTATATGACGATCTTCAGTCATGTCTGTATTTCCAGTCATTAGCAAAATTGTCCTCTGCCAATCTGTGTGCTACTGTGTCAAATAATTAGCCTTTTTAACAATAAGGTACACTCGGATCCCATCTGAACTGTTGCATTGTAAATACCTTGGTCCAGGGTGCTGTCTGGCTGATTCTTCTCACCTACCACCTGAAAATTAGATGGTTGGACAAAGACCTTCAGTCTCCTGGAGATGGGAACTGTGGTCTGATCTTGCTTTTGATTTTGGCCCTGGTTTTGTTTACCCCTGCCAGGAGATAGGCTGCTTCTGTGTCCTTTCTCCTTCCCTGGTGTCCCTGGAGATAACATCCGGATACTTTGACTGAAGTTTGAAACTTTGAAGGCTTTGAGTCATGGGTGGGCTGTGATGGTCCATGCAAGTGTAAGTGGAGCATTTGCAGGCACTGGTCAGCAACTGGTCCTGATGTGAAACAGAGAGGGTAATTTCAATCTCTTCTTCTCCTCCTAGCTGTTTGGCTGTGGCTCCCTTGCACAGATTGTGCTCAGCAGAGGGACTCATGGAGGTTTCTTGACTGTTAACCTGGCCTTTGGCTTTGCTGTGACGCTCGGCATTTTGATCGCAGGACAGGTATCAGGTATGTTGTGGCTCCATGTGGGCTGGATTTCACTTGTGACAATTGTGTAGGCCTATATGGCTCTCCTTCTCCTATGTGGTACTGGTATGGAAACCAGTGTCCCTTGGCTCATCTCTGGGACACAAATTCTGCCTGTAAAAGTGCAATAACAACTCTTTTTTTTTTTTTTTTTTGCAGGTGGACATCTGAACCCAGCTGTTACTTTTGCCATGTGCTTCTTGGCCCGGGAGCCCTGGATCAAGCTACCAGTTTATGCCCTGGCCCAAACCCTGGGGGCTTTCCTGGGAGCTAGCATAGTCTTTGGGCTGTACTATGGTGAGTGCAGAAACTTTCTGTGTTTGTTGGGGTGAGATGGATGCTCTTCGTGACTCAGTGCAGGGAGGCTGGTTCCCAAATCAGAGAGAAGCATTTTCTTGCAGAGCAGAGATGTGAGAAACCTCCTTACTGTGTTTCTGGGAGGGCTTTCCTGTTCTCATGATGATGACGGGTTCAAATCAATCTGAAGGCCCAGCCAGCATTGTTAATGTGCGAGTCTTTGTCCTTGAGTAATGATCATTGTAATATGGACCACTGGACGGCCCCTCTTGTAGGTACTGTCTGGATTAAAACAGATCTTTCAGAAATGCTGATGAAACACTAGCAGTTATGGAGATTTTATATCTGTGCATTTTGTGTTGGAAATTCCTCTTCCTCAGATATTCAGAGTGACATTTTGACTCGGAGTTTGCCTCCTGATGTCTGTTTCTAGCAATAGGAGCAGTGATCCCTGTAGCTGAGCAGAACATCTGGGTCACTGTAGCTTCCACCTGAAAGGAGGCAACTGCCACCCTAGCACTAGTACCACCTGCTTTTCACTTTAGAAAGAAGCAGGGGGACCTACCTTCATCTCTGTAAACATCAGGGCTCCAGTTCAATACCAGTTACCTTTCTAGCTGGTGAGTTGAAGTCTCCTCTTCAGAAGAGTTAATCCTGTCTTAGCTGCCTAAACCATGGAAGACCTACCTTCAGAAACTGTTTTTTCTCTCCACTAACCATGGAGGGAATCTAGACAGCTCACTTAGGTTAGTTATCCAGCTTCTACATAGTGGTAGGCAAGGGGGCTGACTGCTCTACAAGGCAATCCTGAGAGGTGAAAATAATTGTGTATTGGCCTAGAAGAAAGTGCAAGATCATCCCAAATCCCGTTTGCTGCAGATCAGATCCATAGTAGTATCTCATGTCTTGACACCAAGACTGATACCCCAGGCATTTGGGTACCTTTTGGGAGAGATTTGGAGTCACTTAGCATTTACTTTTTGGCTCTAACTCTTTCCTGGTGCCTGGCAAACAAGAAATTTTAGGAGCGGAGACTCAGGCCATCTGTATCTGATCCTGATTGGTAAAATGCTGTGGTGGATCACACCCTAAGGTTTCCAAATGAGTGCTCTACAGCAGATGGTTTTGCAATACATAGCAATAGGGCACTCAGGGAAGTCTGTTTTGATATTCATGGCTCTGTGGAGTCTACATTTTGGTCATCTTCCAATCAGGATCCTCTCTGATGCGTGTTGGAAAATGACTGACCTCTCTACTTTTTTCTTTTTCCCAGATGCCATCTGGGCTTTTGGCAGCAACCAGCTGTATGTAACAGGACAGAATGGCACTGCTGGTATCTTTGCTACCTACCCATCTCAGCATCTGAATGTTGTGAATGGATTTCTTTGACCAGTAAGAGGGTGCTGGGAGGATGAAGGTGCATTTGAAGAGGAATCTTTTGGTGTGGTTCTGGATCTCTCCCTTAGTTAGAGGATGAATTGAAATTTAAAGAGAAGATATCCAGAAAGGTTTTTAGAGCTGACACAGGTATCTCACTAGCCCATAGAAAGAGCAGAGCCAGGAAGCACCCTTAGAGCAAGGAGGCTTGGGCTAAGGCAATTAACCAGTCGCACAAGACTGGCCAGGACACCAGTGAAAAGGATGCCACTTGGCCTCAGCACCTGAAGAACGATAGCGTGAGGAAGGATGACTCTTCCTCACTCCCACTGTACTACTGTGGCTGTTGCACAACCCAGAGTTCGACTGGGTGTGGGGTGGTGGTTGGTGTTGGAAGTGACTGTCTCCTCCTTAAAGTTGCCATCAACCACATAAGGACAGCAGGCATTCAGCTGTGGCAGGTTGGAAGCACATTCAGGAACATGTCTTCGTCTTTTCTGGCTGCTTGAAGGGTTATTCATAGCTCTTCTGTGGGCAGGGAAAAAGGTGTGGGCTTGATTCAGCCTGTGGGCTGCCAGGTGGAGCACGTTCCACTCTCCCATTCCTGTGGGTGCTCAGCCTACTGTGGTCTGATAATGCCGTGGGATGACTTAGTGCAGTTCTTTCAGTTTAGAGAATGAATCCTAAATGCATGGGACTTCAGAGAAGTTAAATAATTTGGTTAAAAGATTAATCTGTATTAACTTCCCATTCCCTCCCCAGTTCATTGGCACAGCCTCCCTGATTGTTTGTGTCTTGGCTATTGTCGATCCCTACAACAACCCTGTCCCCACGGGGCTGGAGGCTTTCACAGTTGGCTTTGTTGTCCTCGTTATTGGAACCTCCATGGGCTTCAACTCTGGCTATGCTGTCAACCCTGCCAGGGACTTTGGGCCTCGTCTCTTCACAGCCATTGCTGGCTGGGGCACTGAAGTGTTCTGGTAAGTGCTTGCCAAAGAAAACCTTGCGCATGAAGGGGAAAAAAAATCACAAGTCCAAGTAGGTGGTAGGTCTGTCATCATAAAGAGTCTTAGCACCCATGAGGTATCTTTGGATTTTATAAACATTTTTTTGAAGACACTCTTTGCTCTGCTCAGATTTCTTAAGAAATTGTAGAAGCTTGGCAGTGAGAGCAAATGACCTAACTTGGTTATCAGTGAGGAAATTTAAGAGCATCCATGAGAAGTTCAGGAGCACCTTGAGCACTCTATCATAATTTTTTTAGCAGTAGAAAATATAGGGCATTTGTTATACTTGGATTTTGTTGTTACTGGAGAAAACTGAGCCATGAGGACTACAGACTATGTGCTGTCAAGGGATGCTTTACTGCAAGCAGTGGGAGGGAACTGAAGGTGCCTATTTCAAGCACTGCAACTGCTTCTCTCCTTTCTTGGTGGAGAGACAGGCTTAGAAGTCCTGGCAGTAGCTGTTCTGAATTGTTTGTCACCTGAACTTGCAGTGGTGGGCAATATCTGCCTTGGAAATTACTGTGGACATGCAGGTACTGTTATCTTTTGCAAGTAAATGGTGATGTTTGGAGACAACCAGATCTTGCATTGTTCCAAATCCAAACATGAATAGCCTAATGCATAGGCAGCCATTCTTACCTTGTGCATTTTCTTTTTATTTTCCAGGACCGGTAAACAGTGGTGGTGGGTTCCAGTTGTTGCT